CGATAGTTTCCTTTCTGAATCAAGTGTTAGCTGGTGTGACTGTTAAAAGCTGTACTACTTCACAAACTTAGGATTTCTACTATGCAGGTCCTCTGCCCATAGATCCTATTAAGATTTATTCATATAACATTATGTCTCACCAAATGCCTTGTCACACTTCTAATATTCGGATGATATTGGTGCAATGTGATTTACAGGGTTACAACTCCAGAAACGAACAGGGTTTACTGTAAGTTAGGTATAAAGATCTGGGTAATTATTCAAATTTGTCAACAGTGGGATTTGAACCCCAGACCTCTTGCATGGCGGTCTGGTAACCTAACCACTACACTAAGATCACCAGACCCTTTTTTTTTTCTATCAAATACTCAAGTGATATTTTCAATGTGTATAGTGTTAACAGCAAAAATAGATAATACAACTACAAGAAGGCAGAAGAAGATGTACAATTTGACAAGTATAAAGCAATATAAAAAGAATACAGTGAATAATTAAAGGAGGCTTTAAAATTAATAAATAAGTAGTGAATTTTAAAATTAAATTTGATTTTTTTTTTAAAATAATATTTTTACTATATGTAATTTAATATTGATAAGTTATATCAAAATAATTTTTTGAAAATAAAAAAAAGTTATAATACAAAAATTGTAATATTTTTTTTTTTTTTTTTTTGAAATTAATACTATAATACAAAATGTTTTTTAAAGAAATAAATAAAGAACAACCAAAAAAAAAGTAAACAGAAAAATCTATAAAAATACAAAAAGAATATTCAAATTAAAAAAAATTAATACAACTGCTTTTTTTTTTAGAATGTTCAGTAATTAAAGAATGGTAATAAAATCATTTAATTTTTATTTTTAAATTCTGTTAATATTTCTTTTTGTGTTAATTTTATATAAAGACAAAACGTATTAATAAATATTCAAAAACAATAGAAAAAAAATGAAATCAATAAAAATAAAACAAATATTTACAGTAATTGACATCAACCATAAATCCACCATCATTATTTCCAGCACTAATTAAAATATTACTTGTAAAATTAACTTTCAAATCACTATTTACAGCATCTACTAAGCTTTAACATTAATTTTCAATTCAAATTCCATATCATCGGTTATTAAACTTTGTCCACTCTAAACTATTATTTGACTATCCATACCAAATTTTTGATTAATAATTCCAATTAATTCATCTTTCACTGTAACTTTCGCATCAATCATTAAAAATCTTATCACTGTATTTAACGGGTTAAATATCTCAATTGAAGCTTTCTCTTTTTTATCAAATAGTGAATGAAATCTAATTGAGAAAAATGCTTTTTTAGAATTGATGTTTCAGTTACAGTTACAAGACCAGGTATAACTGTTGTCAATTCTAAAGTTTCAAAAGCTTCCCGTAAAGGTTCTAAAGTAATGGAATTTGTTGTTCCTTTAATTGTTACATTATTTGTTTTCCCTGCCAAAAAAATTATTCAATAAATTTCGTCTAATTTGTTGTTCTTTGTCATTATTATTTGATGAAAATTGTGCAAGGACTGTGAGATTATTTTCACCACGATTAAGTTCAAGATTTTTGTTTCATTACATAATAAATCAAATTTGACATCACTATCAAGAACAACTTTAACATTTGATGGATTTAACATACTAACCAATAATTTAAAATTCATAAATTCCGGTGATCCACCAATAACTTTCAAAGAATTAATTATTGTTGGTGATGATTTAAGACCTTGAATTCCTTGGAGTGTTGTTTGAACTTTGAATTTTATTCCTTCAATTGTTACGTTACCAAATGATGTATTTGATATCAATATAATAATATATTTTCAACGAACTAAAACGGCATTTAAATAGTAAAGTATTCAACACACCCAAAAATTCTCTTAATTAATCGATAAGAACTATACCCATTAGCCAATTTCTTTCCTCCGTTTACTCCTCTGCCATGTAATAAATAGCACATCAATATTTTCCATACAAATGCATTGAATCCACTTCACTCATCTTCATCACCGCCTATGCCTCTTTGATAAAGCCACACCTTAGCTAGCCTACATGCATCGTTAAATGCAGGACAATCTTTTGAATTTTTATATAATAGGTTTAGATGAGAAACGCAATACATGTCTTTTAATATGGCAGAATTGTATTGCAGTGTTGACGGAAGGGAATCAGTTGATTGTTGTTTAGAAATTTGACCTTAATTCTGGAAATGTTGGGGACGAATATTATCGCGGGATGGAGAGAGGCGTTGAGGAGAAAATATATCCATTGGAATATAAGGTAATATTCGAATAATAAAATTAGGAATAGAAAATTCTATCTATATAGAATTCATAACGCTTGTTAATTCAAATTATGTATGATTAACTCTGTTCAAACATAAGTGTTAATTTAAATCACACCTTTAAGTAAAATGGTTGAACGATGCCTATCTCCATCAAATGCACCAAATTCTACTTTTACGTTCAATGTCGAATTCTTGTCTTGCAAAGCAGCGGATAATATAGCAAGATAATATGCGCGTTTATAAAAATAATGGTTATTCATGTAATCTTTTTCTTGAAATATAGACTAATAGATCATTTCACGAAATTTATGTATACATTAAATGCATATAACTGTTTTATTTTTAAATTGAATAAGATGTTTCACCTTTGGCATAATGACCACTACGTCTACACTAAATCCATTT